TACTTCTGAAAAGTTGTGCAATATAAATACCAACGACCTAAAGTCTACTTTAAAGGAATGTCTTCTGTAATACATAAGGCACTATCTAACTTGTCACTGGCATCGCAGATTGTCCATGAAGAGGAGAAGAGAGGATGGTTATTTCATAAATAGTTCTCACAAGTGTTTATTATTGGCAAATTGGCAAAGAAAACTAAATTCAAAATTTCTTTCAGTTTCTATTGAGTTATAATGAACCAGACAAAATAATGTGCTGTTTTTGCAGAGGCCTGACTTGTTCACTTATCCTCAGGTTTCACAACAGCCAGGTATGAAGGCAATTATGTAAGTTGATAGTAGAAATGACTTGTCTTAAAAAGGACTCAAGTAATTTGCAGTGAGTTTTCAGTGTGTATCACTTCCAAAGAATATAGTAAAGGAGAAAATGTTCTTTCTATATTTGGAATGTTAGAAAACTTAAAGACAAGTAAGCTATAATAATTCATTCATATATCCCTTCTGAACTGGTAAATAATAAATCTGATGCTTTAAACCTTACATTTCCTAGCACATTCCCTACAGTAGCGGAAGCACAGGACTACCACCTCTCACTACAGAACTCAAATAGTTTTTTGAGGAGTAGACCAAGATGAGACTAGGCCACTGTTTTTCCTGACCTACATTCTGACCTAACCCTTTTCTAGAAGCTGAAGCTATTCCCATTTCTCCTCCACTTCTCTCCACCTTCCCATTAAAAAAGGCAATGAGTTTGTTTGTAATGTTCAATTTCTTCTAAAGCTAAATAGTATCAAGCTTTAGTTGCACCTGTCATCTTTCTTAGACTTAGGATAAATCTATCTTCAATGACCAGGTAGGATGAATTAAAGGGGAAGAAGCTGCTACCATTGTGCTAGAAGCCATTTCTGTGTACTAAACACATTTTTCTGTTTTCATTCAGTTATGATGTGTCTAACAAAAAACAATTGATAGTTTTTATCCAAGTAGTTACGTCTGTAAGAAGTTTTTGATTATATATTAAAGCTTCATTTGGGGTCTCACCAATTCATAGGTATTTCTTAATTTACTTTTGAATTATATGGAAAGATTTGACTAAAGAAAGGAATTTAAATTTAAGAGTCAATAAAGGGTTTTTTGTTTGTACTTTCATTCCTTGGCTTTTCGTTTTAAAAATATGAAATTCCTTGTTTTTTTGTGGCTCTTTGATGAAGGCACAACAGGATTACTGGGTCTGTTTTTCAGAGAGGTGACACATGGAGCGAGCAGTTAAGTGACTTTAAACAAAGTCACAGTGTTATTAGTAAATAGCCTCTCCAGAATTAGAAGCATATCATCTGTCTTCTAACTCCACATCATGCTGCCCTTTAAAATCTTTTTATTTCTAGTCTCCAATTCAACCAAATGAGTGAAGTGTGACATTTTATGATCATATTTGTCATAACAACTGACATTTAGCTGTACTTTCTTTTTCAGCCTGTGCCCCAGAATGCATGGAAGATCTTGGGAAAGACAGCACAAAACTGCACTTGACAAATTTTACTGCAGCATACAAAAGACATCTCCCTCTCTCACCAAATGGCAAAACACTTTCTCATACCACACCTTCCCCTTTACCAGGAGATATAAAGGGTTTGTCAGAGAAAACAGTTCTCCAATCATGGACGGATAATGAACGCTCCACTCCTCATGATGGTACAAACTTCCAGGAACACAACTCTTACAGCAGAAATTCTCTCGAAGATAATTCTTGGGTATTCCCAAGTCCTCCTAAATCAAGTGATACAGCATTTGGGGAAACTAAAAATAAAACGTTGCCTTTACCCAATCTGACACCACTGAATTATTTGGATCAACATAATCAAAACTGCCTTTATAAGAGTTGATTCTGAAGAGACTTCATGACTTGAGGATGCTGGATTTCCCTTCATGGCTCTCTCAAATTATTTAACAAACCAAAAGCAGGTTTTGACTAAAATTTTGTAGTTCTTCAGCATTTATCTTTGCAAATACTATGACATATTGTGTAGTTGATTTTCCAGTATGAAAGAAAACCATTCAGTTCCATGTTGTGACAAAGAATCAGATATATGCTACTAATTAATAAATCGATACACTTTTAGGTGTTTCATAAAGACAGTTCTACCTTTGATAACTATATAAATTTTGCTTCATAGAGAATGGGAAGTTTTTAGATAAGGTTTACAGCAGTATGTGAAATGCCTAAAAATCTATTAATAAAAATAAAGACAGGATATTCATGCATAAAGGAGCAAATGGAAATGTGAATAGGTTATATTTCTGTTGACACTACAATGTATAAAATGAAGAAACATTAAAGTGGAATAATAGTGTCTAGGTCATTCTATCTCTGTATGCTATTGTGTTTTAAAGTTTAAGGCTAAAATAGTTTTTTAGTCACAATTCTGTTGGTACAGTTTAGAAATGCAATTTGAATTCCACAACTTAACCTGATCATGGAAGCCAACTTTCCTAATTTTACAAAGTGATGACATAGCTGAAAAATTATGTAGTGTGTGAATAAGCTATTATAATTCTAGACATCAAGTAGAAAGAGCATCACAGAGGTTTCAGTCTAGTCTGCCCCTTCAGTGGTCCTTAGTGAAAATATGAAAGTAGACGTTAACTATACAGCTGCTTAATGTATAGACCAGTTTCTATATAGTTAGACCCTGTTTTGAAATGTAACATTTTATTCATTGCAAAGGACTTTTAGGTGAATTAGGAATTTTCTAGAAACTAAATTCTGTGCTGTGCTGGCAAAGTACAATCATGAAATGTCCCCAGTTCTGATTCTAAGTGATTGGAATCATTTATAAACAAGGAAGGAAGTAAAAAGAATTGCTTCACAAGAAAATTTATCTAAATTCTTCAGGGTGGTGGTATTGAGAACATTAGTAATAAAATATATTACTTGGTATTTTACATCTTTTGTTTGATAAAGTATTTCAAGACCTTTATCCCTTTTGATAGACAGTTTCAAATATATTGAACTCAAAAGAGTATCTCAGATCTCTTGTATATTAACTGAATAGCATACATACATAATGTTCACTGTTCACCAGATATTTCTGTCTTTCTATTATCTTACTCACTTACTTGAGCTTGTCTGTGATTAATGGAATTGGTGTCAGATGCTGGAATTTATTCTGACCAATGAACACAGCTGACTCAAGGGAGTACAATCTCCTGCCAAGTAATAGAACAAAATCCAATATGCATAAAACAAATACAAGACTCCAGGCTTAGCTGAAGGAAGCAACTACCTGTGTAATAACAAAGCAGCAGAACCTATTTCTCATGTGGCTGCATAGGCTGTATATCATATCTAATCTCTAATGTAGCTGACTGGTTGGCATTCTTTAAAGCCCAGGTTGAAATGTTCCTTTGTAAAAGAAAAGTTAGATGAACAATGGCTTGATTGTTTGAACAGTACCAAGAAACTTTAATTAAATAAATTATTTTTGTTTGAAATTGAACTGGGTGTGAAATATTGTCCTTGCCTCTGTATTCAGGTACTAATTCGTAGTTGTTAATTCGACTTATATAACATACGTGTCTTGTTAAATCAATTTGAGTGGAGAAAATGCTTTTTCAGTTAAAACAGTAAGGTGACATTAGCTAAGATATAAAGTCAGTGATGGTGATTCTTGACAGCTTGAAGTGCTAGGTAAATAATGCACTCTTTATCAAGAAAAGGTTAACCAAAAAAACAATATTTTTATACCCAGTCACAAATTTTAAAATGAACACACTTATGATATTGTCTGTCCTAGGGAAGACTAAGACGAAAACAAATGGGCCATCTGTACCTAATAATTAACTTAATATGCAAAATGTGATGTTACCTTCTTTCTTACTAGCTGAAATGTGCTCCACAGGGCTTCCCTTGCAAAAATGGGACAACTCCTAAGGAGAGCAGGGATAAAGGAAACATTAGGGGTGAGAATGCATATGTAAAAAACTGTAGGACTGCATCATGTGAACACAAATGATCTATCCCAAAATGCTTACTTCGAAAAGGTGTATAAGGGGTAGAAAAATCTATGAATGTCACTTACCAGTATAACATTGGAGACATGAATAAGCAAGACCCGACTGAGGCTGATGAACCAGTCAAGTGGACTTGAGTGAGGAAAGGCATGTATGTCCTGAAAGCTATGATGGATGGTTTAGTTTTTTTACCTAATAAAGAGGGATAAACATATTATTTATACTGTATGACCTAATTTGTCTAGAACATATGGGGAAAGTGACATCTAGACACATGAATTTTGCACAGCTGGCCCCTTTGATTCAAACTGAATTTATAAAATAGATTATACATTCCACCTAGTTTTCAAAGTAACTTTCTCCTTTTCTTTGAGTCATTAAAACCAAGAATTAAACCTCTGTGCTCTAAAAGATACACTAATACCTAATGGAAGCATTAGGCTAACAAAAGAATCTGTGCTCCAGAATCTGTGCTGTACTTGTCTGCTCTAGTAATTCACTCCTTTTGATCTGTGGGGAAAATACGGCTCTTTGGGCTTCAAGTAAGAATAAAGTAGTTATCTTGAGAGGTTCAGTCAGAAGTATGGAACCACTACACTGGTTCATTAGGGTTCTATCTGCTAATTGCTTTAATGCAGACAATTACTTAAAAAAAAAAAAAAACACTCATATCTATGTCATGAATTTGGGACCACAGTTAAATCTTTTCTAAGCAGCTCGTAATTTCTGTGATTTTACTGAAAATTGTCTATATACAAAATTTACTTACCTGGAAACTGTCTATAATGGCTATGGTGGAGAATTAACAGCCACAGGGAAAGATTTTTAATATAGCTCAACCTGGAATCAAAATTATTGCACTGAGACACGTTTTAAACATGTTCCTGAAACCATTGCTATGTTATAGAATGTTAATTTATTTCTTTTTAAGAAAGACTGAAATATTTTCAATCTTTAGCCAAATCAACAGTCAAATTACATACTTTAGGAAGTTTTCTATTGAACACAAAATCCCATTAAAGATTTCAATAAAATAATTGATGAATAATACGTTTCCAAATAGACTTTTACTACTAATAGTACAACAAGAGCTAGATCCCGCAAGTCAGAGGCATTTCCAATGCACACCAATCAGTCTGCCAATTCCTCACAGCATCTGTAGAGATTTACTTCTACAGTAGCATGTATGCTCAATAAGTGGCATAAGGATTCTGGCTCATAACTATAATGTTATACTGCCTAATTATTAACACCTTTAAAAGTTGCATATTCTTGCTTTCTCTGTTAGCTACTTCTGGTTCTCACGATTAGCCATTAGTCTATATATTAGACAAGAATACGACCCATATGGAACCCTAAAAACTCACTAGCACAGTTAAAAACTGCAGTTGTAGGGAGCAAAATATACAAAAACCATGACTAGGCAGCCATATCCCATTTCGGTATTTACTCCTATTCCATTTAATAAGCTTAAGTTGCAATTTTTACAAATCTTTATTATAGATAAAATTTAGTATTTCCATAATTTAGGATAAAGCAAACACCCTTTCTTGAGTCCGACTTTTCGGGTGACTGGTCTCCATGACTGTTAGGGCTCCTGAGTAGCACATGCACATTTGCCTACATGCTCGTGGGAAGCTTCTGTAGTCTTTTCTTGGTAGGAATTCCAGTTTTTCTGAATTCTTCCCTTTCCTTCAGGTATTCCAGCTTACATTCTTCATAAAAGGCTGGATCCTTATAGCTACAAGAAGGAAATAAAAATCTTTTAAAGTGAATTACTTTGTAGATCTTTAATAGAAGCTTACTTGAATAATTTTCGGACATAGAAGTAGACATAAATTAAAGGGCTTGAATTCATCATAAACATCACGTTACCAAAGTTGTCAAAGTGAAAGAAAAAAAGCCTAGTAGCAGTTGTCTGACAGCCTGTCCTAGGACACAGCACTGAGAAGTACAGCTCCTACCACCAACGAGCCCAGTGTGCTTAAAAAAGAGACACATGAAGACTGGGATCGTGAGTCAGGATACAACTTCGACAGAAGTATGGCCCAACGCACCAATGAAACAGGGAAAGGTGGCATGTGCGTGCGGTGCGGTTTTAAGTACCAATGGAAATTTAAATAGAAGGACATGTGGAAATGCACATAGATGAGAAAAAGATATGCAAGTGCATCGGTACCAAAGTAGCTGATCACGCACATGAGAGGAATGTCCTGAGATGTAGCTGGTAGGGCAAGAACAAAGTGTGATGATTCACTTATGCCATACTGAGAAAATCAACTGAAGGCAATGGGCACTAGGAAACAGCAACGGTGGCATCAGTTTGTGTCTTTGATGAATCTGCAGTATACAGCAAATAAAATGAGAGAGCAAGGTAAAGGAAGGACACCCAGTAAATAAGCAATCACAGTAATTCAGACAAGAAATGATGAGTCTAAGCCAAAGAAGCAGCAGTTAGGATGAAAAGGAGGAAATTAATCTGGGGGATATTTAAGAAATGCAATCAGTAGGAGATAACCAGTAACAGGAGATAAAGAAAATTCTAGATTCCAGGTAACTTGTCTCTACACATGATACACAAGGAGTAGGAGTCGAGTTCAGTTTTGGACCTGAAAAGAGAAGCAGAGAAATGTCACGCCCTCTTGAAATAATTGCCAACAGTGCATGTTGGGTTTTCTAAGATTTAAGAATGAGAAGAGCATCCAGGGAATCAACAACTTTGTATGAAAGGGTAAAGAAGGAATGGCTGGGAAGAAGGTAAGAGTTGAAAATGAAAAAGAGCATTAGAAGGGAAGCCAGAGAAAGAAGGGAATTTGAAGTAATTTCCAAATTAGTCAAATAAAATTCTCCCTTAATCTACTTGCAGCCAATGCCACATCCCATCTTCTTGCTGCTTATCTCTGTTCAAAACAAACAGAAGCAGTCTTTTCCCAACCAAACCAGCCACTCTACCAGGATGGACAAGACCTTTTCTTTTCTCCTCCTGTTTCAGGGGGTGGGTGACGGAAGGCTATCCAAATGACTAATATTCAGGTAACAAAAATTAGTAAGTAACAAATTAAAAAAAAACAAACAAGCCAACAGTTATTGAGTACCGACTATATGGAGAGGCCCTGTGACAGTGTGTTACCCATGAGCCCTCACTTTCACTCCATGGAGAGTAATAACTAGCCTGTTTTACCGGCAGGGCCTGCCCGAAGCTGCTAGCTAGCTAAAGCTTGGGCTGCCCTCCTCAGTTTCTACGCTAGGGCTGCCATGTTTTGGAAGGAGGAATAATATGCCAAGCTAAAATAAACAAGTTTATTATAACTGATAATGAGGTGTAAAAACTCTTTAATTAACCAAAGAGAATTAAGGAAATTCGGTCATGCAAAAAAAATTTTTTTACATCATTCTTCATTTTGTGCATTTTTTCATCTCAGTTGGAATCCCCGTGGGCTTCCCACCACCAACTCACCCGTGTGCCATCACTACAGTCCAGTGCACTCTTCCCACCCCAGTGGGACTCCATTCCACTTTCCACCCCATAAAATGTCTCTGGTTTATAGTTGTTCATTGTTTTCATTTTTACTCTTTTTCAGTCATACAAATTTTTAAGAGTTTCAATTGATTCATTAAATATCTCTTGAGAGCACTAGGAAATAGAACTGAAAGATGAAGTCACATAACACACTGTAGCTCCTCCTTGGTTATACACATCACACAATCCTGGCCCATAAATAAAGGCTCCTACTAAATTATCTTTAATATTAACTTGAAGATAATGGTGGACCTTGTTTCCTCAACTACAAATGTAAAGGTTAAATAATCTCTGAAGTCTTCCAACTCCAGCATTCGAAAAAGGTACACAAATTTGTGAACATACCATTACCAATCAAAGTAAGCAATTAAAAGATTTATATAATCACTGCTTTTCTTTTTTTAGTACCCTAAGAAGCATTAAGACATGTCACCATACATGCTTCGAGGCCATGGCGTCAGAGTAAAGAAGCAAACAGGGCTTCCCAAAACTAAGGCCTCACAACTAGCAATACTTACCAACAAATTTCACAGTGCTACTTGTCAATAAAGTGAAATAATTAATTTGATCAATTAAAAATCTAAATGTATCCTTCATTTGATTTATTGAAATTTTCCTAGGAGTTAAATTTTATTGGTTGTGACTTAAAAACAAAAAGAGGCCCTCCCTGGTAGTGCAGTGGGTTAAAGCACAGCACTACAAGTAAGCCACAGATGCTTCAGTAGGAGTTCAATCCCCGGCCACGGAGCTGACCCACATGGCGTGGCAGACCTCTCCTGATCTGTCCACTGCTCCCCTAAGCAGTGTAAATTCATCGATCTGCCTGTTCTGCTCCCCACTCTGTCTCTGGTGAATACTCTCACTGCCCCTGCACCTCTGGCTTGTACTCCAATTCTATATGCTTAAAAAAATAAATCTTTTTTTTTTTTAAAGATTTATTTATTTATTCGTACAGAACTGGGGTACAGGCCAGAGATGCGGAGGGTGAGAGGATTCACCAGAGACAGAGCGGGAAGCAGAACAGGCAGATCGACTAAGCACACTGCTGAGGGGAGCAGCGGGCGGGTCAGGAGAGGTCTGCCACGCCATGTGGTCACCTCCGGGGCAGGCGAGAATCAAACTCATGCGGATGCGGCTCTTTAGTTTCTTAGTGCAGTGCTTTAACCCGCTGCGCCACCAGGGAGGGCCTAAATAAATAAATCTTTTAAAAAATAAAAATAAATAAAACAAACAAAAAAGAATATCACAAAGCTGGCAAAGAGAATTCAATTCAGTACCTCTCATTAGAAAAAAATATAAACTTACATAAACTTGTTTAGAATGTCAACGTGTCAATGAAAAGAAATTTGTGAAATAGTGTGGAAAAATAATATATTTTTGTTTGCTGACCTTATATTTTTAACCCACAGTGCTGGCACACAACCTAAAAAAGCTCCTTCATAAACATCTTAAGTTGCTATTATAAAACAATCTTCAACAAACTGAAATTTCAGATTTAGTCAACAGTATTATGGCTATAACGGGGGAAAATACAGACCACATGACATGGTATGAGCTACACAGCATATTCTTACCTACATGCATTACACAGAGATACACAGAAGCACAGGCACAGAGGTAACTACTTACTAAGCAGTTAGACATTCTTTCAGTGCAGAATTTTCTTTACGGCATTTGACTACCATTAGCACTCCAGAGGCCTTGCAACACTTGGTAAAATCTGAAATGAAATTTTGGAAAGGAAAAGGCATTGTGTTAACATAATTTTTAACAGCTCTATAAAATGGTTATTCTATTCTAAACATGTCATCTACATGACACTCGGCACATAAGACAAGCTCTACAAAAGATGCTCAAGAAGAAAAGGCAAAATAAGATGAATGAGATTGTAGGAATGAGCTCAGTGGGAAGTAGATGAGACAGAGTCAGAGGCTTCATGAAGACATCAGTGACACAGAGAATATGTGGGATTCCCAACAGAGTAAAAGCAATGCATTCTAGAAGAAACATGTAAGAACAGTAAGGAGGTTGTTTCCAGACTTTGGCACCTGCTGTCCATAATCGGCATGCCTTGTCCTGATGATGTCAAGGTGACCCTTTCTTCAAGATAACCGTACCATGGTGTCTTCATTTCTGGTAACAGCTCCATTCTATTCCTGACTCAAGTCTTGCATGTCCCAGAACATTAAAATGGCTTTCTGTGCAATTTCCAGGCAGGCAGTTTGCTGTTTAAATTGTCCTGGCCGCTCTGGTATCAGCCTTCTCAGGATCACCAACCCAGAAAAGCCTGTGAACCCCATTCGCAATGGGGCCACTTGCTACCCTCCTGTGTTTGCTTTGGGTCAGACTCGATCCTATCTAATCCCTTCTACAGGCTGGTGTGCTCTGCTTCCCGCCCCTGCAGCTACTCCCCTGCACTAGTCTGGACCTACCTCAGGACAACTGGCTGCTCTAGTGTCAGGCCATGCCACCTCCAATGTGCTGCAAGCAGCTAACCATTCCAAGTCATCTCAAAAATACAGCATTCTTCGCAATCTACAGCAGTGTTTCCTGAACATTCTTAACTTCTTCAATAAAAAATTAGCATCTGTCTCTTTTTTTGAGCTATGTGTTATGCTTTCAGTCACTAAGGAATATGACTGATAATGATTACTTAAAGCAGGTAATTTCAGGCATCTCCATGAAGACACACACTATAATAAGTCACACTAAGAAAATGAAATGATGGAGATCTGTTAAATGCACAAAAATCTCATTAACAGGCTTTGCTGGGACAAGCTCCCTACAGTATAGCTACTACAGCAAGATGCTAGCATAGTCTTAGCATACTTAGCATAGGCTAAGTAGTAGATCAGGAAAAACAGCAAGAGGTGTGCTGACTTTAATTCAAATAATTTAAGATGTACAATCACAACAACTTATGGGTGGCATATAATTATTCACTTCAAAGACACACAGGATTAGCTTCCCATCGTTCCTGGGTTGCCAACAGTCATTCTTTGCTCTCTGATCCCTGGATTTACTGGGTGTCTTTTTTATTCCAAAATACAAGTTCTGGATTCTGTCTGAGTAGGTAACCTGGGCACATGGGCAAAAATCAGAGGAAGGGAATTCTCTTTGTACAGTCACTGAAAATTCCTGCAACTCAAAAAGGCCAAGCAGGCTTGCTGCCAGCAGCCTGTGCCGACCCAGAGGGGTGACCCCACAGCGATCAACAGACCTACTAATGTTTACTCTGACATGTCCTATAAGTTCATTTTTCTATTTGTAGAATGATAATTGTGATATGTCTTTGTAACAGCTCATGATGGTCACAAATAAAAATTAAGGCATGGGCAATCCTCAAAGGAAACATGCCCATAAAGTTAATCCGGAAGTGACTGAGTTCACAAAGGGCCTAAGAAGATCGCCACAGTTGCCAGCAGCAGAGATGAACCCGGGCCAATGCCCCTACACCACGGTCCCGTACTACACCTCACCAGGCCTGCACCAGACTCATTCACTCAATGTCTAGAAGACCATTAGCAGTATGAACTACATGAAAATATTCTAGTTTATCAAACTTCAGTTCTTTTGTGGAAAACATGAAAAATGTCAATTATCAAAAGTCACTTTCTGAATTACACAAATCCAGTACTTTGTACATGAGAAATTCGTAACAGAAATGCCTAGGCACTGCATGATTTTAAGATTCGCTTTTCCTAATAGGGATAAAAATGTCTGTACAAAACTGCAGCTTGACGGTACTTATGTGTTCTGATCACAATCAAAGGCACAGTCTATAGATTTTTCACACTTGTCCAAATCTCTTCAGGATTAACTGTGACTGGCCTGAAGCCTCAAGCTGTTTGTAATGTTTTTGTCACTTGTTTAGCAACAAGATTTTAATGAGGATCATTCTTTCATAGCATATTAGCATACATTCCAATGATAGTGATGTTGCTAATTCTGCCAAGTGACTTCTAAAGTGGTATTTTGAAACAAATCCAATTTAAATTGCTCTGTCTTTCAATGTTTCTGTAAATGTTACAGCGCTTCTACAAGTTCTTGCTATTGGTAATTAATTTTAATCACCATTAAAAACTATGGAGATAAATTTTCATTCACTAAAATATATTTTAGGGTAGATGAATTTATTAATTAGTAAGACTAGAGAGATTATTAAAAGTTATTCCAACATTTAAGGAAATGTGCTTCTTAAACTTAAGACTATCAAGTCCGTGAGATACTTTCTTTTGTAAAACCTCATTTCTGTGAGAGAACCCATAAAATAAGCCTACTGGTAAAAATATTCTTTGAGATAATAATATTTGGATCAACTAAACCCAGGAAAAACAGAGATAAACTTTCCTAAATTGAGTCTAAGAAAATGGGCAAAATAACCTTCTTATAATAATTAAGTACAAGTAGTGTATATAATTTCCAGCTTATGTAAGGAAAAACTTTCAGGGATCCTCTGTATAATGGTAGTAAGAGAATTAACAAATTGGAATTATGCTAACTCATTTTTTTTGGGGGGGAGGGAACTGTTGACTCTATTTTAACATTGAAATAACACCCCAAAATGAATAATTAAGCTAAGAATTTAGAGAATAATAGCTGTATATGAAAAGATGCATACCAGACACTTGATCTCTGACACTTTTCATTTGGCTTATTTCAAACAACATTATTATTTTTGCAAATACAGTAACCCACTTTCCTAAAGCATTCAAAGAGATGATAATTTTAAAATACACCAAATTCAAAAAGTAAATAATGGCTGATGTCCCTAATGGTTGATCTCTGACTAGAACTGCTCCACATTGTATCTCCACTAACTTATAGTTTTGAAGAAAGTCTAGACTTGGGAGGTTTTACACAACCACCTTCATATAGCACTAACTTTCCAATTATTATTTCCTTAAGTAGTAAAGTTTTTATAAAGTATTTTTCCAACATTACAGCAAGAAATATATTCAGATAATTTCAAATTTTAACACCTAAGTTCTGTATACTATTTCTGTAACTACACTGTTATCTTTATAGTTACACCTTTAAAACTGGAACTGTAATTTAATCTAAATTTTAAAAAATTGAGTTACTAAAGGTCTTACAGTAGGGCAAATTTTAAAATTACCCTAAATTTATAATTTGTTATCAACTTTACAAACCAGAAATCTTAAGCATAAAACATTTCCTTATAAAGAACTAGATTAATAGAAACAGAGATGTACTTTAAACATAATATGTAAGAGATCATTGGCCAGTTACTGAATCAAAAGAAGGATGAAAAATACAGAACTGAAAAAGATACAAGTTGGAGTCTAGGCTGGTGCTGCCTTATAGTAAGGTACCTGCAGTCTTAAATTTATAATATAAATTAACATTTAGAATTAATTGAGCTCAGGAAAAGACAGCAATTCAAGACAGACTTTCATAGTGCATAGAGCTGGGGCCCTGCACACAGTGTCGTGCTGAGCTTCTCCAGTCATCTTCTCCCCTCTGGAAGCTGTGAAGTACAATGCCTGAGACAACTGGTGGTCCCCTCAGCCCTGAGCTCCCCAGTTTAAATGCAGGGTGCACAACGAAGGGAGACACAACGAAGAAACATGAACATCCTCTCCCTTCTCAGCTTCCAGCCCAAGGAACCAAGGTCAAAGGCGGCAGAGTGTGTGGTTCTGTGTAACTGACAGCTTGAACAGTATTTTGTGAAGTTCATGGGAGAGGTTTTTTAAATAGTTCTGACTTTCTGGACAGCCGTTTATAATTCGGTAATAAAACTATGAATTTTGTTGCAACCTTTGAGTCACTGATAGCAGTATCTTGATGTTTGAAAAGAAAAATCAATCCAATTCAATCTACAAAGTCAAATATTATCAGTTAAGTCCAGACTGGATGAGAAGCTGATTGAAAATGTATCAATGAGCATTTGCCAGCAATCTAACAAAATAAAAGGAATTGCTGGGTTGTTATTTATTTATTTATTTTCGCAAGAACTCTATAAAGTTAGTAATTCAAAAAAAAAAAGGCAGAAAAGAAAGCATCTTTTAGAGAACACGTACACTGAAAGAGTGGCTTCTGCATTCACACCTTTAAAAATACTTTCAACTTCCAAAGGAAAATCTCCACTATATTTCTCCAAGTAACCGCTGAGCTAAAACCAGCACAAGTCTCCAATACAGGGAGTGGGAAAGTGCTAAGTCATACTGTGACCTTAATGTTTAAGGTATCCTCTTGTAAGAATCTTTTTCTTAAATTATCAAAGTAGAAGGAAAAAAACACCTACATTCCTGTCTTTGTGATGGTAACATCAGTAATAATAGCTTGCGTCTGCTGCATTTACCACATCCCAGGCTTCATCAACACTGATTCAGTTGAGTTCAATTTTTTTTTTCAAATTTTCAAATGTTATTATAGGCTCATAAACTTTTCCACAAACATTTTCAAATGACTGTGTGACTAGCAACTAT